TCCTCGTATTATTTCTGAACACATGTATAAGACAAGTTTGTACAATATGTAGTTGTAGTTTTTGCATCTTTTCTGCAAAGATATTTAACAAGTGATTTAGGGCTGCAACAAACGATTATTTTGATAGTCGATTAATCTAACGATTATTAGAACGATTAATCGACTAATCGGTTATTTCACTGATTCATCAGTAGACATTTATTGATTATTCAGCTTTTGCAATTAGTTAAAATATTGAGTTATACATATTCTAACAAATAAATTAAGGTAATCACTTCAGCTTTTGAAAGTCATATTATGTAAGTACAGTTATACAATTAATTTATACAAATAAATATATTTGGCACAAAATGAGATAACAGAGAAACTCTTATTCACCATTTAATTAGCTATATGAAAAAGTAGCTGAATGACATTATTCTGCCTAAAATATATTTTTGTAAGTCATATGGATAAGAAACAAAATAATTGATAAGTGTTAAACCATGGTAGCAGCATGCCAGTTCATGCTAGCAATGTGTTAGACTAAAACATGTAAATAACATTTTATTGACTTTTTTTTCAGTTATTTCAAACTTTCAAACAAACCATGGTCAAGCCAACATGGAAGTTTGTTTACAAACTTTACTCAGTTGTGTTTGCTGTTTCGGCCAAATATTTTCAGTTGCTGAAATTTCGTTGCATCACTACTTTAAACTTAGGTTGGAAAGTAACCACCTAGCAACACCTTAGAAACCGCATACCAAAAACACTTTATCAACTGCATAGCAACACCCTGGAAACACACTTAAGACATTGTTTCACTGTAGGAGTTGTCTCAGGTTTAGAAACAGTACAGGACTACGGTTGGGGGCTCATTAGGACCCTTTGAAACCCCACAGCACTTTGGCTCTAATTATGAGTCCTAGAGAAAACGGGATGGAGATTCCCCGATGGGACCTGCAGTCCGGTCTCTACTGATCCAATGTTCATCCGAAACAACATGTTGCACTGACAGAAGGTCCTAATCAAACATTCATTGCCCTTTGTGTGTGTGTGTGTGTGTGTATTACTCATTCATCCTCCCCTCTCTGTGCCCTAGTTTAGTTGGAGGGCTTATTCAAATCATGGCCTAAATTTAGGAAAACTTTGTTCATCCATGTTAAATTGAAACTGAAAGTGGCGCTGTCACTCTCCTCAGGTTTTACTAAACTACTTATGAACATCAGCAACTCATAACATGCTTTTCTGAGAATGACTATTGTACTTTCATTGTATTCTTATTTAACTAGATGGTTAAGCATATTTTTAGTGACTTGCTGATATCAACAGTCGTTTTAAACACAAATTATGACATATTTACTTTATTAATAACAAATGACCTGCGTCTTACTGTGCGCAATTTATTAGTGCATGTTATTTTAATTGAAATATTCTTTTTCGTAGTCTTTCATCGAAATGTAATCAAATGTAATGTAAAGGTAATAATGAAACAACTTTTCTTGTGATGTAACCAAAAGCATGAGGGCATGGCAAAAAATAAAAATAAATCACTAATATTATACTTTGCGCAATGCACTCAAATTCCGATTTCCTGAAGTCCCGCCCAGTCTTATTTTAGTATCATCGAGATACGGTTATAGTTTTTGTTAATACTTTTAATTTATTTAAAGCTGCAGTCCGCAAGTTTTGCCTCTTTGTCGCCATCTCTGTTTGAAAACCTGGAATTGCAGCTTTGTGCGGAATTATCTAGCTTGCGTGGGTTGTGCTCCGGCTCGGCATCAGCGCGGATGAATCTAATGTTTTGAGGAGGATGTGTGGCAGTCAGTCATCGCACCAGTGTGGATATTTACTGTACTGCGCAATCACAGATTCTAGCCTACGTATATATATATATATGAATATTTGGAATATATGACCCAAATAAGAATTTTCACCATATATTGTCATCTGAACAAGTAAGTAACACGTCTGTCACGTTTGTTCTGACCAACTGAGGAAAAAAGCATTACCATAAATCGCGCTACCAATGGTGATTTAATCTAAATTAGCTCATATCACATCAAACCGTGCAAATTATTATTATTGTTATACTTTATTCTCAAATGATTAATTGCTGTGAGAAAAGGCTATAAACGATCCGCCACCTGCAGGATCCTCAAATGCGATAGCCTACTAGCCAGGACAACATGTTTACAGAAGTGACGTAATGACGCAGTTAGGGGTGGGAATCACCAGAGGCCTCACGATACGGTATTATCACGATACTTGTGTCACGATACAATATATTGCGATATTCTTCGATATATTGTAATTTATTACCTTTTTCCAACTTCAAATTATGTCCCCATTGCCGCGGAAAATATCGCGATACTATGCTGTATCGATTTCCCCCCCACCCCTAGAGTGCCATGCTCGAATTTCCCACGAAAACCTACCCGTACCACTCAAATTAGAAAACATTACTATAAGCTAACCGTTGTGAATCAGGCTAAAGTAAGGCGATAGTTTTGAACACTGGCTGGTTATGTACTTGCTCAAATGTTGATTTTTTGATAATTTTTAACCAAAAAAGTTACGGACTGCAGCTTTAAACTTCTGAATGTCAAACTTGGTCAAAACAAGTGCAATATCTTCCTCTAGGGGGCGGTAAACTGCACAATCTTTGTAATGCTTTACAAGCTTTTTCTCAATCGTTCCATTTCAATAACTTTTGTTGTGCTATAGTTCTGTTTAATTTTAAGATTTTCTGCCTTTCATGTTCATTTTAGTTAAAGTTTTAGCAATTTTGTTGTGTGTTTTTGTCTTTTTTAATAGTTTTTTGTTGTCTTTATATAGTTTTAAATAAAAAATTGTATTCCAGTTTTATTTTAGCACTTCAAGTTAAACTAAATTAAAATGAAAAAGGTTGCCTTGGAAATAAAATAAGTTGAAGGTTTTTTGAAAGATACATTTATTGTGAATGTTATTTCACATATTTAAAACCAGTTTTTGTCATGTTAAAAACAAATACAGTGTTACTATTTTTTACTTGTTTTGCCCTGGCTAGCTTAATATTAAAGGGATATTTCAGTCAAAAATGAAAATTCTGTCATAATTTACTCGCCCTCATGTTGTTCCAAACCCAGTGTACGTTCTTCTTTGGAAGAAGATATTTGAAGAACGTTGACTTCTATTGTATGGACAAAAAACAAAAAAACACATTTCTTTATCACCAAAGAAAGTGGTTTGGAACGTCATTGTGAACAATGTGAGCAAATGATGACTGAATTTTCATTTTTGGATTTGGTTTAGTTGTGTTTTTGCTTAATTAAATGTATGCAAATTTGTTACACTATTTTTAAGAAACGTTTATATTTAACATTAATAACACTAAAATGTAATATGGTGTAACCATCACATATATAAAAATTCATAGAATGACTTGAATAAACTTTGTGTGTGTGTGTTTTAATTCCTGAATCCTGATATTTTTTGGGGGCATGAAGTCAAAATGCCAGGGTGGTACAGCTGTCCTAATATAATAATGAAGAAAAAAACCCTCAAATTTTCTATTAATATTTCTTAGAAAAAAAAAATTGATTGCGTAAACAAAACTGAGTTTGTACAGCAAAAAACATCTGCGTTCATGTACTTGCATTTTTCAAGCCTAAATAGTGAATTTTGCAATTACCTTTCTAAATTATCGGAGTTACTGTGTGATTTTCACACGGTGGATGATAAAACGGGTGAAAAATCACATAGATTTTCACCAAAGTCCATATCTACAGACGGTAGAGACCAGAAGTTTGGGACCAGAAGGGCTAAGTTTGATTTTTAAGCAACTGTCTAACAGCGGCCTGTCAGTGTAAAAATGTAAATATGTAGTTATTATTCATAAATATAAATTTTTTTCTATTGCATTTACCCCAGTGTTTTGTTTGGCTTTCAAGGATTTAAGGCAGTCGTACATCATGTATGAACTCCCTGCCCTTTGCCTTTAATAGCTCAATCGTGTGTGTGAGAGCATGTGTCGGGAGTGTGTGTGGGGTTACTCATTAATCGTCCAGTACTCACAGATACACAGCGCTGGACATAAGTTTCAGTCTCCATAGTACCAAGAAACTTCGTGTTTTCATGAAAAAAAAAAAAAAAAAAGGGATGATAATCGGTGCACTGTAAAAAATGTTCACCCCTTTCAACTTAAAAGTACAAGTCATTTCAACTCACTAATTTAAATCTTGCCTAGTGAGTAAGCTTCAACTTAAAATGTTAAGTTCACTGAACTAAATTGGGCTCCTTGAATTTCAGTAACATTAAACTGACTTTAAAAATCAAGTTGAATCTAGTATAACTTATAAAAAAAGGTTGAAATTGCTTAAATAATATTTATGAGTTACAGTAACTTAAAAACATAAGTTGTCATGGCTTTTTCATCATATAATTTTTTACAGTGTGAGCACCAGCCAATGAGATTGCCGTTTGCGCATTAGTTCCGCCCACTACCGGAGAACGCGGCAGTTCTTAAACGCTGAAGAATTCCAAAGGAACTCCGTTAATTTGACAGCGAAAATACAACAAAGAATATCGTTTACATGTAGCGCGTCAATTCTCTCTCTCTCTCGCTGCGTGTGTGTGAATCAAAGCGACGGCGAGTTATGCGCCTTCACACTAGAGTTTACGGTACGTTGAATACAGGTGCGCTGCACATCCATTGAGATGAACTGTAAAATAGCACAGATCACTTGACGGAGAGAGAAACTCTGAAGCGCTCGGTCAGAGTGTTCGGCGAGTGAATATATATCTGTGCTAAACTTAATACTTAGCCTCCAACTCACACACTGGCGAATAAAATCTGAGAATTTATTAGCCATTGGCTAATATTAGACATCATTTAGTCGCCCAGAGTAAGATTTAGTCGCATATGCGAGTGATTTACTCGCAATGTAGAGGGTTGTTTGTTGTGTCTATAATAGAAATGACTGAATTTGGATGCAGTGGGAGGGTTGTCTGTATTGATGGCGCTGCTGGTTTCTCCTCAGGTGTGGCGAGAGGTTGAAGAGGAGTGAAGGAATGACTGAATATAAGCTGGTGGTGGTGGGCGCTGGAGGCGTGGGCAAGAGCGCTCTCACCATCCAACTCATCCAGAACCACTTTGTGGATGAATACGACCCCACTATAGAGGTAACACTGTGTGTGTGTGTGTGTGTGTGTGCATTGAGTGATCTCAGCCAGTAATATATAGTATCAGCTGTGTATAAAATATCATCAGGTCACTGTGGTCGATATCAGTACATAATCAATAACAGTTTTTACCGTCAACTGGAGCTGTTAGATACTTCCCACCCAGCAAAAACTCGTCGAAAAGACGTAAATGCCAGACGTCTAAACAACGTTAAAATTTGGTTGAAAAGTGAAAGGTGAAAAGACGTCTTTTTCAGGTCGTCGAAAAGACGTCTATAAAAAGACGTCCAAATTACGTCTAAATTTGGTTGAAAAGTTAAAGGTGAAAAGACGTATTTTCAGGCCTAATTACTGTCAAAATAAGACAATTCACAAGAGTACCAAAACATTTATTGACACATTAAATACATCTTTTACGTAAAAAAAAAAGCTTAATTCTACATTTTCAAACATACCATAAAAACAGTAATATTGTGAAATATAACTACAAAAATAATTATTTTCTATGTGAATGCATTGCAAAATGTAATTTATTCATGTGAACTGTATTTTCAGCATCATTACTCCAGTCTTCAGTGTCACATGATCTTCAGAAATCATTCTAATATACTGATTTGCTGCTCAAGAAACATTTCAGTTGTGCTGCCCAATATTTTTGTGTAAACCATGATATTTTTCAGTATTCTTAGAATAGAACTTGCAAAACAGCAGACCCTGAAATGAATGATGTAATGCATTTGACTATTTCTACCACAACAACATGGTCACAGTTAGCGTTACCGCTTCTGGTTTCCTGACGTATGTCAGCGCTATTTATAATAGATTCTCACTAGATCTCGCAGCAATCTTATCATTGTGCGATGAATTCAAACGCTTCTCACTGGATCTCGCAGCACTGTTCCATCTGTGCATTAACAGTGTTGCAAAATCAACTTTGGCTCCCGAGTAAAGCTACTCTAACCTCGGACAAGTTTGTTTGCGTCACGGTCCGAGCTGATAAACGGTCCGCGCTGCGCAGCTGAAACGTAGAGTCAACTCTACCAAGATCAGGAAACAGTCTGGAGCCCTGACCCCCACACACCACCCCCAGCGCTACCAAATCTGCTTCTGGGACCACCATCTGTAGAACTGCTCTCAAAAGTTAGTCTGGGGCCCTGCTATATATGCATTGCAAATGTGGTACAATTAAAATTACTATGCAAGTACTAAAAAAAAAGTCAGCTGCTGAAATGTTAAAAGGATCGGTGACTCTAAAACGGTTATAAAAACCAAACCAAATATAAATACTGAGAATGTGTTTGACATTCAAAAAAATGGAGCTTACACAGCAAAAGATGCAGTGACCTGTGGCTGAATGGCCTTTGGTTTTATTTAGCTGTGATTGACACACAAACAAAAGGGGAAAAAAGATAAAAGCATCACTGAATAGGAGTCAAATATTGCATATTTCTGTACAAATTAAAGTGTACTCATTCTTCATGAGTGATTATTAACTAATCAGTATGTCAGGGGTTCTCAACTCTGGCCCTCAAGGTCCACTGTCATACAGAGGGTACGTCTCAATCAGCTCCATAGTTCACTAGGTTGTGAATTAATATATTGTGTACACGAATTCAGGCACTGGTAAGGACAGTGGCTCACTACACACTGCTGACTTCCGTCCTCATTGTACAACATCACTACTGACATTAATGCACAACAGTAAAACTGATATCTTTTTTTAATGCCATTTACAGCACATTATGATAAATACTTTTACATGTATGTGCAAGATTTCAGTCAAAAATAAATATTTGTTAGATTAGACATTACCTGTTTAGTGATGTATGTTTATTCGGCGTATTCGATGAAGGAGCGGCTGGCGGGCTTAACGCATGAATATTCGTACACATGTATCATGAGGAACAATTTTTAAGCTTTATGCTTTATGTATTTTTTAAATATATTTTCAAAATATATTTCAATATATTCAACAGTGCTTCATGTCAAATGTCTAATCTATTTATTAGGGCTATGTGGTCCGAAATAAACGTGCTTCTGCTAAATTTCGACTAAATTAGACGGACCAAACAAAACCCCATTTTCAACGTCGATTTTAGGGCTAAATTTGGACCAAATCCGACGGACCAAACAAAGACCAATTTTCAACGTCGCTTTAGGGCTAAATTTGGACCAAATCCGACGGACCAAACAAAGACCAATTTTCAACGTCGCTTTAGGGCTAAATTTGGACCAAATCCGACGGACCAAACAAAGACCAATTTTCAACGTCGCTGTTTGGGCTAAAAGAAGTTCATGACGGGCCGACTTGATTTAGCCCAAAAAACGACGTCCAAATGACGTCTGGTGCTGGGTGGGTTACAAGTTTTTTTTTTCAGTTTCTATTTACTGCTTTTTTTATATGCTGACAGTAATTTTACAATTCATGAAATATGATCATACTAATGATAATTAGAAACTGTAACATCATACAAATAGTATAGTAGTCTCTCATATATCATTGGGAAGGTCAGCAACGCTGTAGCAGCTAGTTACAGTATTTTGTCCATAAAGTGGGAGTTAATGGGTCCAACGTTCTCTGAAATATCTTATTCTAAGCTACATTATAGTATTAGATTATTAGTTACACATTGGCTGCATCTGAAAACTGAAAAATGCTGCCTTCGGAGGACACATTCCAAGGTAGGAAGGCATCAAGGCACGTCTGAATTCAATGTTAGCTTCAGTTCCTGTCTCCTGAGATGCCTTCATCTGGCCGATTTTTGAAGGCAGCATAGATGTATCCTTCGCTGCCTTTGATATCCCACAATCCTGTGCACTCCATTCTGTGACAGTTAAGCTAAAAAATAAAGATGGCGTCTGAAAGTTGCGGTGAGGTGGTCAGTTTGTGTGTAAATGTACGTTTTTGATCAACGTTTTCCACTTTTGATGTCATTTCTAGCGAGAAATTAATATTGCAGTAATGAAATATTCACTTAGTTATCACCAAAGCTCTCTATATTTTGCTGTAGATCATTAAACCGTTACTCTGCCTCAGAAGCCTGTCCGAAATCAGTTTCATGAGGTGCCTTCGTGCAAGTCATTGCCTCATACGGCAGCGAGGCAGCTGCCTAAGTTTTCAGATGCAGCCATTGTGTCATCATCTTTTTTTTTTCCATTTCATGACGGATGGCAGCCAGGGTTAATGTGCAGTACTGCCACCTACTGTGTTGGAGTGTCAACCAGACTGGTTACTGGTGTAATATTAACATGACATCAGTATTTCACTTTTTAAATATCATATCGTCAATATTGCGACACCCCTAATCCACAATATGTCATGCTTTCTCGTAGGTCTGTCAAGATAGAAAACATTTGGTAACTCTTTACGGTAGGGTTTCATTCATTAACATTACTTAATTACAGTCGTTAACATGAACGAACTACTTCTAAAGCATTTATTAATCTTCATTTTAATTTTAACTTTTTCAACATTCATCAAATATCTGTTAATATTATTTAATGGACCTGAGGTAATATGAACTAACCATGAACAGTTGTATTTGAATTAACTAACGTTAACAAAGATATATATAAATACTGAAACAATTGTATTGTTCATTGTTAGTTAATATTAGTTAATGCATTAACTAATGCTAACTAATGGAACCTTATTGTAAAGAGTTACAGAAGTAGTCAATATAATACTGATAACTTTCACAATGCTAATGAACATACTTTTTTTATTTAATGAATTAATTAATCAGTGTTCCTGTGGCTCAGGGGTAGAGCATTGCGTTAGCAGCGCAAAAGGTTGTGGGTTCAATTCCCAACACACATACTGGTAAAAAATGTATAGCCTGAATGCACTGTAAGTTGTCTGCTAAATGCATAAATTATTATTATTAATTATTAATTAATCATTGCCTATAATTAAAGGAATGGTTTACCCAAAAATTAAAATTTGCTGAAAATTTACTCACCCTCAGGTCATCCAAGATTGAGTTTGTTCCTTCAAGGTATCAGATTTGTAGAAATGTAGCATTACATCATTTGCTCCGCAATGGATGCTCTGCAGTGAATGGGTGCCGTCAGAAAGTCCAAACAGCTGATAAAAACATCACAATAATCCACAAGTAATCCACACCACTTCAGTCTATCAGTGAACATCTTGTGAAGTGAAAACCTGCAATCCATCAGGGCGTTTTTAACTTCAAACCATTTTTTCCCGCTAAAATGTGAGTCCTCTATTCATAATATTGCTTTCTCCAGTGAAAAATTTACCTCGTCTGAATCAGGACAGAAATATGCACAGAACAAGCACTGTTTGCAAGCGAAACATACAGTTCAAAACAATTCTACACAACTATATCAGTGGATTTTGATGTGAGAGGACAACAGAGGATGAACTTTTTCACTGGAGGAAGCATTATTATGGATTGTGGACTCATATTTTGGCCAGAAGCAACCATTTTAAAGTTAAAACGCCTTAATGATGGATTTATGGAGGCTTTTGGCTTCACAAGACATTAACTGATGTACTGGAGTGGTGTGGATTACTTGTGGATTATTGTGATGTTTTTAATCAGCTGTTTGGA